AAAAAAATTCATAGTCCACACAAATCCTACATGGTAAGTCGTGATTTTTACCTCCTCGAGCAAGGAGGTTACGTTAATAATTCCACAACAAAGAAGGATCAAAACAGGTAGAAATCATTCCTCCATCTTCAGGATATAACCAGCCTGTTTCCATAGCGGAACAGTCCGCAAAAACAAAATCATTCTTCAATTCAAAAGATGTACCTAGTTTCGGTAACTCAATTATTTGCGTCAATTCTTCTGATGTTGCCAAATCTATCGCCGATACCAGCGATGATAAAGATGAAGATGTGGACATATTTGATGATGTTGACGAAGTTGAATTATTCGGAGAAGTATTATCATTATTATTATTATTATTATTATTATCATCATCGAACTTGTCCATTGCTGCGGCTTTAGCTGCGGCTGCTTGAATGTCACGCGGACTAAGTGTAGCCGGTCTAGGAAGTAAACCGGCTAGTTCAGGAAAGTTAAGTATAGCTGAATTACCTTTTATGCTTAAAGCTGCCACGTCATGAGCTCTAGCTGCCATTTCTGGATTTGGAAAAGTCCCAAGCCAAATACGTGATTTCTTACGTGGCTCGCGAATTTCTGACACCCATTTTCCCCAATTCCTCATTCGAACGCCTCTAAAAACAGGATGCTTGCTGCTATCGCGATTTCTCTTTATCGACTTATTACTAATAATTTCCGCATTCTTATTATCTTGCGCTGCTACTGAATTCATCTTTACGCAAACATAAAGAAGAAGGAAGAAAAAAATATGAGCTCAATTTTCGTAAGAATATTAACTTTTTTTTCTTTCAATTATGTCCCAAAAAATAAGTCACCCATACAACAACTTTATAAGGGAAGCAAGAAAAGGAGGGGGTAGGGGGCTCCCAAGAAGGGGGATGTGGGACCCATAGAAGAAATGGGTCATACCCCTATGGTACGACAGGGTCCCCTTAAGCAGTAGAAAACAACCAACCATTTTTATATTGAATTGAATTGAATAATATTAGTTGTAACTTGTTGTTTGTGGAAGTAGGAATATAGCTTTTTTTTCATTTCACCTATGTTTCACTGTTCATTTCTCCCTATATTTGTCCATTCTACATGTGCCCCTAACAGTCATGTCTGATTAATCCACACACGACTTATTTTATTTATCCAGAATCGTCATATTTATGCTTTATACGTGCATAAATAGATATTCAAATTTGTATAAAGTTAAACAAATAGACGTATATGTTTTACATGTCATTTTTTGTCCTACGTGTATTGTGTCATGTAGGACTCATGTGTTTATTTCTTTAAAAGTTGGATAGTTAAAGTGTCTGTTTCTGCATTATGAAAGTTAGAGGTCAAAATTAAAATTTGAAGCTAAGTTTAGGGTCCAATATATGTATTATCCCAAAATTAAATTACTTTTAAATATAGTAAAAATATTCTTTTTTTTAAAAAAAAATGCATAACACATATTGGAACAAACACTACTAAAAATTTACTTATCATCTTACTACATTTTTCATGAAAAATATTTATCGACTATTTCTATATAAAATTAAATTGAAGTGGTGAGGAAAGAAAAAATTAAAAAGTTTCTTACTGTTTCAACGAAAATCTATTTTCCTCATATAGTCTATGAATTGATTCGATAAGAAATGAGTAAAAAAAAAAATCATATTTTACGATATAAATTTTCACTAATTCTCAGTGGTTTTTTTTGTTTCTTGTAATGAAAGAGAGTAATTAAGAAAAATAAAACTTTATGTTTCCTGGTGATGACAAATAAATCTCCTAATTATCATGTAAGAAAAAGCACAAGACGCAAGGCAATAGTAAGTTTTAATAGTAAAATAAATTAATAGAATTGTTCTTTCATTTTCTTTGCCAATAATTGCTAGGTAATGTCTTCACTAAAAACAGAAATTTAATGGTCGCAGAGTGTAGTATTTGTACTTTTTTTCTCGATTGTATGCTTTATTATGTTTTTATTTAGTTACATTACAAATAACCGCTGTTTTTTTTTGTGTACCTTTTTTGTGTTACAAAACAAGTTTTCCGTTCTGGGCAGAATTAAATAAAAAATAGTAATGGATTGGATTATTTTATTTTTAATGCACAACAATTCTTTGTCGACATTGTAAAATGGGAAAAGTCTACAAGTTGATCAATTCTTTTCATATTATAAACTCTATTTTTTAAAGATAAATTTGTCCTCATTGTACTGGAAAAAAAAAACTGTCGATTCTTCAAAATCACAAATTACTGAAAGTAGCTTTACTGGATTTGAAACATCACTTCCTTTTCCTTTTTTATTTCGGAAAAATTTGGCGTGAATTACTAGTTTCATTCTTAAATTATTGATAATTTTAAAAATATCTTTTTACTTGATTAACTCAACTTAAATACAGTCCCGATCTTGCAAATATAATATGTGTGAAATACATCCTAAATTATTCTCACCAAGTTAAGGGTGTTTTCAACTCTTCTCTCGGTCATACTTCTAACAAGATTTCGACACTACTTGCTATGTTAATCTAAGTTTAGCCACTTAAGTAGAAGAACATTTTTAAGATTGTCAATAGTTTGAAAACGAAATAATAATAGGTGTCTAGGGGGTGTTATAATGGTATTATTTACCAGTGAAAACATTACAAATCAGGAAGCTAATGAAACTTGCTTTGGTCTGTAACAAATCTTGTTAAAATTGGAGCTCTAACACATCCCCTAATAAGCTCACAAAATTAGATTATCAATGAATATTTTTTAATGCCCAATAGGACTCTCCGAGGAGGTGTTTGACTATGAAATTTTTTTTCCTTTTTGCCAGAGTTGAACTTTAAAAAACATGTTTGACGGTAAAATTTCGTATTTCAGAAATTTCGAGAATTTGAAAAACATTAAAAAGGTGTCAACTCAAATTACTCACAAAAACTTATAAACAACTCCAATTCGTATTCATAACCAAACACGACATGTTTTTTAAATATCATTTTTCACCTTCAAAAGAACAACTTCTTTTGTTCAAACCATCCACAATTCTACATATGTAGGCTACCTCCTTTGGCAAACTATCCACATTTGTACACCTTTGCTTAAAGACAATGAAAAGCTCGTCTTTGGATGAACAAGTGTTCTATGGATTCTTCTTAACATGCCTAGAAAGTTAAGAATTTTTACCAAAGATTTCAATCTAATAGCAATGCCTCCACATCGCATCAACAACATCATATCCAGCGAAATATATATTCCCGTAACAGAGATTTGAAGAGGATATAATAATATAAACAGATTTTATCATTGTCTCGTAAAGATAGAGAGATTGTTTCTGAAAATTCCCATTCAAATACAAAAATAACACATCGACATCACAAAGTAGCAGAATACAACTATCCAATTTGAAATTTTTTCTTTTCGAAAAAAAAGAGAAGGTATTTGTAAAAACTCTCAAAGCTCTACTCAAACAAGTAATTTAATCCACGAAATTGGCTGAAATTAACTAATCAAGATAATTAACACAAATTTCTTTTTTGAGTGATAATGGGTCGGGTCCATATGGCCAAATAACGGGTCATAACCTATATAAGTAACACAACCTTTTTCCTCTTTTTAAACCTATTACAATCGACGTAATAGATTGGCTATTATTTGCTATACAAAAAGTAGAATATTTACTCATTAAGTTATTCAGCTGTTTTTATTTTCATAATTCACATTTCAAATTTTAAAATTCAAAAAAGTTCTATTTTTAATTTTATATATATGATACAAACATAAAGACGTACATCACTATATAAAAACAACTATTGGTCAAATATATATAGTAATGTCTTCCACCTATTATAATCATGCTACCCAAGAAAATAACATGTTCATATTGCCATTTCTTCAAATGTTTACAGGCAAAAGCTTCAAAATATAAGGTAATAAAGTTGAATATGAGACATACTTAGAAAAGGGCAAGTTATATATCTGGTCGGTCGGTCAACATAAATATATTTATATATATAAAATATATACATATAAAAAAGTATATTACATTGTATATTTCATGTATATCAAAACAATAATTTACAAAGTGTATATATTTTTCACCATATTCTTTGCTTGTTTGGGTTGGGTTACATTTTTTAACTCGACGGGTAGTACTATTTTTTTGTCCTATTTTGACTCGATTGATTAACGGGTTAATATTTTCTTAATATAGGATAAATATAAAAGTTTCCCTAATTTTTATTCTATAGGTTGAGTCAACTCAACCAATGGGTCATGATCCGACTATAGAAAATTAAACTGAACGTGTTAGAATTGATTTTGTCACACCCCTATTTGTAGTTAAATTTCTTATTTGTTAATATTTAATTTTTTAAATATTTTAAGGGCCAGTAATTATTCTCCCATCAAAGGATAGTTGCCTAGTAATTTAATGAGGATAAGGAAAAAAGAGAGAAATAGTAAGAAACGTAGGTAAGAATATATTTGGTGAGTAGCTAGGGTTTTTGAGAGTTGGTGATAAAATTGTAATCATTGTGATATCTCGTTAAATATTTTATCCAAGTACTATCTTCTCTTATTTTGTGTGCCTTATTATAATTTCTTTGTTATATCCAACTTTAGGTTGCGATGGATATAAATGATAAAAAATATAATCCTAATTGTTTTTTTCGAATTGCTCTAGTATGATGGAACGGGGAAGGAGGGAGTCCGCCAGAGAAAATGCAACATGATAGAAGGATGTACTTTACCGCATTAGATAATTCAAATTAAAATAAACTACGAATGATTTATCGGATAAAAATTAGCTCAATGGCAGATTAAATTTTTTCTTTTTGAAAGATAAAAGAATGTGAATTATATTGTTGTATATAGAAGTATGAAAATACCCCTTAATTTGATACAAATTATTAGTTTCATCTCCGAACTATTGATAATAACCTTAAAAACACCTCTCTACTAGACTAATTTTACTTTGAAACAACCTCAATTTGTCACATGACATAAAAGTGTCTCAAACTCTTTTAGGAGCATAGGGATCTAACTTGGGGTTGAAAAATACTCCTAACTTGGTGAGAATTTTCGAGTGCGTTTTACCCATGTTGTAAGATTAGAGATGTATTTAATTCCAGTTAATCAAGTTAATTAAGGGGTGTTTTCAAGGTCGTCAATAGTTCAAGTGTGAAACTAATAACTCGCACCAAATTTAAAGGTGTTTTCAATACTTATCTTTTGTATATATAAAATAAATTGTAACGCTCCAACAAAAGAGATATGTAGTAGTAAATTAATAATAGATTTTTCTTTTAGCTGCAATATTTGTTGCTGTAAAAATATTTAGTGATAATTAAATCAATTCATTAAAATATTCATATCTATTATTATTGCTAAAATAATAAAACAACAATTTTAATATTATCCTAAAATCTTTTATTTATTGTAATGTAAAACAATTTTACAAAAAAGAGTGTGACATTCTTTAGCATTGATTAGTGCATTACTAAGGAAGATGTTCTAGGGGATATTGTTGGTAAGAAGATGTGTGGTGCAGTTAATTCGAGTGTTGTACGATCTATTGGTCAAGTCAATTCACGCATTAAACTCCCAGACAATAAATATGTACTTCAGTAGTGAGAGGGTTGTTTCAAAAATCTACTTATAATCCATAATGAACTTTAAAAATAGAAGTATAAAAGATAATTAAAACTTGGCAAATTGTTAATTTTTTTTTTAAATTATTGATAATATTAAAAACAACAATTTATTTGACGACATAAATATAAATATATCGTGCATTACTCTCGATTCGTCACATGACATAGCTAGTGATTTCAAACTCTTATAAAAGCATG